CCCCTCTCTCTCCACTGTCCCCCCCCCCCCCCCCCCCCCCCCCCCCCCCCCCCCCCCCCCAAATCCCCAACCGCTCACCATCAAAGTCAATGTTGCCGTCTTTGTTGAGGTCAATGTCGCTGAGGATCTCCTCCAGCTCACCTTTCTTCAGCTTCTCCCCCAGGAGGGTCTTCATGCCCTCGTTCAGCTCATCGAGCGTGATCTTTCCATCACCATCACAGTCAAACTGCAACGTGTACAGTGGAGAGCATTGAGGTGGGGACATGGACATGGAGAGACAAACATATCACAGATGAAAAGGATGACAGATGACAGATGACAGAAGAAATAAGGAAGAACTGAACAAATATTACAAGTCTCTGTTGCGGATGTGGAGGGTGGAGATTGATTATGGGGTGATGAATTGAGGTGGAGAAAGAAAGATGGAAATAGAGGGAGAGAAAGTTATCAAGAGACAAACAAAGAGATTCGGAGATGATGCAAAAAAGAGTTTTACATTGACAGTGTATATTAACAACATGGCTGCACGAGGTCCTTGGAAGTCTGAAAACAGCTTGAGTGGCAGATGGGGCGATGCTGACTCATGAGGTGTTAGTCGAGTGTTAGTGTTAGTGAAGTGAGACAGACTTTTTATGTGAATATGAGGACTGAGTTTGGATGAAGTGAAAATGTATTCTCATTTGTCAGAGAGTAAACTAAGCTCTGAAGTTTCTGTGCAGAAGTGATGGTTTGGGGCTAATTCAACAGCCCCACAAATGGATTTGAAGGTCAGAACATGTGGATTTCTAGTTAGGACCTTGACGATGACGCACATGTGATACATAAACTCCAGATTCAATGGCAGATGATAATGTGACCTTGCATTCTCAAAAGAGAGGACACATTTTAAAAGATTGCATGCAGAGGAATAATGGTGTCTTAGTGTCTTTTGTACTGGCTTTGATAAAAGCTTGATCAAGCAAGTGGCCCAACTGGTTCAGGAAGAGATTGTTTGGTTGAGACAGAAGTATTGTTACAAAGCTCTCTGTTCATGATCAGTACAAGGGTGGATTATTTGATTGACACAATTTGCTTTAGAGCCACAAACAGCTTTTTTACAATTTGAGGTGCACAATGCTGTGTTTCTATATTTCCATATTGAAAGCACTTTTTCATTTTTCAAACATTGTTTTGCCATCACTTCATTGGCAATAATAACTTTGCTGAGTCAGCTGATGCCCAATTTCTCCCCTTGCTTTTAGCAGCCAAAATAGTCAAACTAAATGCCTGGAGCTACATAGATAAATGAATCCTTGTAGCATATTACAGTCTCCCATTCGTTTTCAGTTATAATCATGAAGCGCACATTATCAGTGTTTTCTGTTTTGCTGTAACCATTAAAAACCTATCCTGCAGGAATGTGTTCAGTGGAGGAACTCAGGTGCGAAAAGCTGTGCCTACAAATAACGTGATCGCCTCGTTTGTTCTGCTTGGTTGCTTGGACTACGTCACACCAGGGCTTGCCTTTGGGTCACCATCAATTTAACACTTAACACAAAGAGAGCAACTCAATACATATTTCCTCCAGACCAATGAAGCACAAATGAACATGTGAGTGTAGAATATATATGGTGGCACTTGTGATGGCAGGGACAGTCCTTCATAAAAAATTCATCAATCAGAATATTTTCCTTTACCCTTTCCCCTTAAACCTGCCTCTGCATCCCTCTTCTTATAGACTGGTTGACAAGTAAGAGCCTTACACTCTCTAAGGAAAGGTCCTGTTGCACACTTCTGGGTACTGTCACAATACCAGGCCCTTTGCACTTGCTTGAAGTCACATGCCTCCAGAGTTCCTTGCCGGAGACTTCTTACCTGTTTGAAAGCACAGCGGAGCTCCTTCAGCCCGAC